AGGAAGTAGGGATTTCGAAAGTCCCAAACTTCCCATTTTAGACATAAAGAGTGAGACTTCCCATGACTCTGATCATGGAGTTTTATTGTAAGTCATAGTAAAAAGGGAGAACTCAGGATATACAAGGAGGGAGTTCTCCAACGTGACTGAAAGAGACCCACCTCTCCTGGGCCAGAAGTTGTTGGTAGGAAGGAACAAGATAGAGGAAGAACCAAGAAACCAGACCTGAGGCTCCACAGCCCACCATCTGCAAGCCTGGCTCTTGATTCAGAGAATAGTCAGGACAGAGAGACCAGTTAGGAGCGTATTGCAATGGGGAGCTAGCTGTTTGATGTTCTGAGGCACTCCCATATCTACCTGGGTGTTTCTAAAGCCTTCTCTAACTGGCCATCCCAGACTTTGTATTGTTTTGCAAACCCACCAAGCATGCTCTTCTTTGCCTCAGGACCTTTGTACTTGGCTGTACTCTTTGCCTGAAAGTTTCTTCCAGCGGATAGTCTCATGACTCACCCCTCACGGATTCTAGATCTCGGTTCAAATCTTTTCAAATACCACCTTATCAGAGAGGGCTTCCCTGATCAATGCATTTAAGATAGCTCCCTCTTCCCCCAATGGTCCTGGTCAACCCTCCCGGATATATATCTCTCAACAGCATGTATCACCCTCTGACACACTGTGTATTTCATTTGATTGCTCACTGCCTTTTTTTTTTCCTTCTAGACTGGGGACTTTGTTTTGTTTGCTGCTCCATCGCCGGCACCCACAGCAGTGCATGGCATAGAAGTGATCCCTGGAGAGATGTTTGTTGAATGAATAAATGAATGGACGAGGTTCGAGGCTCTTGAGAGAAGCCCCACCTTGGCTTGATAGCGGACACAATTCAGGCTTGGGATGAGTGGCAGCTATCTAGAAGGTCAGGCCCCAGCCGTCTTCCTGACTACCTGCAATCTAGGCCAGGCACGCATGGAGTCCGGGTGCTCCCGCTTGCCACATAAGAGTGTGTGAAGTTATGGGGACTAGCAGCAGCCTAGTATTGGGAGGAGAGAGGCACTGAGGATGACAAAGGCCAGAGGCCCAGGCTGTAGCAGGAGATGGTGCCCTCCCTGCCGTGAGAGCAGCCAGGGGCCTTAGCCTACTCACTGCAGAACCCACACCGGAATCCCCGGGGTGGCCACCAGCGGGGCAGGCAGCTCATTGACCCTCCCTCCATGGGCTGCGGCTTCCCTAGTCCCAGATCTCTCGCTCACACCCAGATCACCATTTGGAGAAAGAGGGAGGGAGTGACTACCTGAGTGGACAGCTGCACTTGGACCTGACTATTAGAAGCGACCATTTAAACCAGCAGCGCACAATGGGGCGCCTGGGTGGCTCAGTCGTTAAGCGTCTGCCTTCAGCTCAGGTCATGATCCCAGGGTCCTGGGGTCGAGCTCCGCATCAGGCTCCCTGCTCCGTGGGAAGCCTGCTTCTCCCTCTCCCACTCCCCCTGCTTGTGTTTCCTCTCTCTCTGTGTCTCTTTCTGTCAAATAAATAAATAAAATCTTAAAAAAAAATAAATAAATAAACCAGCAGCGCACTGAGATGCTGTGTACTGGAAAGCTGTCTTTGCTTCCTTCCTATCTCCATTCACTTTGCATGGGGATTCAGGTTGAAGATGAAAATAGCTATAGGATAATTCAAATAAAAAAGCAACATTTTTCTTTGCACATTGGAGGGCATAATGTTAAATTTGGGACGGTCGCTACCCTTTAGAAGAACCGTCCCCCCAGAAAGGCCCCCCCGAAGACAGGCCTCCCAAAGGGGCCACTTGGATTTCATTAAATACATTCCAGCAGCCGCTAGCCTGTTTGTTAGTGAGTCCCCCACCCACCTGGAGCTTTTCCCAGAGGGCATGGTTATGGTGGCTGGTAAAGAAGGGAAGTGTTTCCCCGCCCAACAACTTACTACCAGATCCTTCTTCGGAGCTTTGCAAGGACTCCCCAGTACGTTGGGGATCTCGTTCGAGGCTCTGAATTGAGACGGAAACTCTGAAAACATTTTACCGCCCTCCAGCTGGAGGAAAGGACATCTCCCATGACAGGCAGGGCAGGAGCGGTCTGAGGGCTGTCCAGGGCAGGGCAAGATTCTAGTTCATTCTCACAAGAACAAAATTTAACCAATCAAGGCAAAGCAAGTTTTTAATTTTGGTGGAAAAGCACAGCAGTTAAAGAATTTAAGTGGTGAATATTATTGTTTTTACAACTAATAGATCCTTACAGAGCAGTGGTCCTTGGGGGGGTAATTTTCCCCGTGCCCCAGGGACACTGGGCAGTGTTGGGAGGACTTCTGGCACTGTTCTCTCACTGGTATCTCACAAACATCCTGTGAGTTAAGACCGACAGGTGTAATTGTGCCCCTTTTACAGAGGTGACCGTGGCTCAGAGATGACAAAGGACCTGCCTGGGTCCCCACACAGCACAGAGCAAGCGAGCAGGGCTTTCTCCGTAGCTCAGTTCTATTAGTGTCCTTGTGCCAGGGACTAGGTACTATTTTTACTCTGTGTGGTTTTGTTTTGTTTTGTTTTGATAAAAGGAATAAGATTTTCAACATTTCTTGGGAGTCAACCATGCCTCAAGTAAAGAGAACAAAATCCTTGCTGTTAGGGGAGGTGACAGTCTGGGAGGGAAGCAGTTAACAGACAAGGTCATATGTAGAGCAGGCTGCACCTCAGACAGTGAGTGTTAGGTGATATGGGTGAACACAGCAAGAGGGGAGCGCAGGGAGGGGTGCTGGAGAGGGGGACACTGAATCCAAGTGTTAGATATCATGGCCAGGGACAGCCTCCAGGAGGTGACATTTGTTTCCCCAACTTTTGAGGAATAATTGACAGATATACTTGTATATATTGAAAGTGTACACTGTGATGATATAATATACATATACATTGTGGAATGATTGCTGAGATCCAGATAATTAGCATAGCCAACGTCTTACATAGTCAACTCCTTCTCCTTCTTCTTCTTTTTTTTTTTTTTTTGGTGAGAACTCTTAAGATCTACTTTCAGCAGCTTTCAAGTTTACGAACCATATTAGAAACTAAGAAGAAGATAGTAGGAAGGGAAAAATGAAGGGGGGGAAATCGGAGGGGGAGACGAACCATGAGAGACAATGGACTCTGAGAAACAAACTGAGGGTTCTAGAGGGGAGGGGGGTGAGGGGGATGGGTTAGCCTGGTGATGGGTATTCAAGAGGGCACGTCCTGCGTGGAGCACTGGGTGTGATGCACAAACAACGAATCATGGAACACTACATCAGGAACTAATGACGTAATGTATGGTGATTAACATAACATAATAAAATTAAAAAAAAAAGAAACTATAGTCACCATGTTGTACATTAGATCTTTAGAATTTATTCCTTTTATAACTAAAAGTTTGTATTCTTTGATCTGCATGTCTCTATTCCCCCCTTCCTTCAGCCCCTGGCAACTGCCATTCTCTTCTCTGTTTCTATGAAAACTCAACAGCAAAAAAACAAATAATCCTATGAAAAATGTGCAAAGGACCTGAATGGATGTTTTTCTGAAGAAGACATACAAATGGCCTAGAAGTACCTGAAAAGGGGCTCAACATCACTAATCATCAGGGAAATGCAAATCAAAACCACAATGAGGTGGCTCTTGAATAAAGATCTGAAGGAAGTGAGGGAGCGAGGCATGTAGCTGAGGCAAGTGGCTATCTGAGGAAGAGAGTCCAGGCAGAAGGAGCAGCAAGTGCAAAGGCCCTGGGGGGTGGGGTGGGCTTGGTGTGCTTGAGGAGTGAGTGTAGCTGACTGAATGCATGGGGGAGGGAGAGAGCAGAAGGAGGTGAGACCACAGATATGAGTCGTGCGAAGGTAGGGAACAAATCATAGAGACACTTGGAAGTCATTTGAAGGACCACAGCTTTCATCAGAGAAATAGGGAGCTACTGCAGGCCCTGAGCAGAGGTATGGTAGAATCTTTGAATTTTGACTGGATCACTGGCTGCTGTGTGGGGAACATACAGAAGGAAGGAGGCAGTGAATTTGTTCAACTTCATTTTCGTCAGTTGTTCTAATTTCTTCAAATGCTTTTCTTTTCTTTCTTTCTTTCCTTTTTTAATTCTGTGATGACCTTGAACAAGGAGGAAAAGTACAGGTGTGCACGAGCATACCAAGGAGAACTTGAAGCATGGGGCTCGTTGGTCAGGAGAGAAAAGGAGAAAGCGGCTGTGAGGGAGGAAGATGCTGGCCAAGTGCTCCCACCACGCTGCTGGGGCTGGGAGCCAAGGTGCACACACAACCCGGGATGTCAGTGTGTCCACAGCTGCCCTGTGAGGACAGCGGCTGCATGACTGGAAGGTGAGATCATATCCTCCAGGATTAGTGGGGTTTCTCGAAAAAATTCAGCCAATTATTCTCCTCTGCTTAGTTTTCATTTCATCATGGTTTGTTTGTCATTACTTTACCTGTTTTAGTCAAAACTTCACAGCCTGTTTGTAGTAAGATATAAGCCCTTGAACTTGGGATTCTCAGGGGTCATGTCTACAGTTTTTGCTAACTAGTATTGATGTGTGTCAAGAAAGCCACATCCTCAACTCAACAGGACAAGGCTTTTGAACAAGATCTACTAAATCATTCTTCAGTCTTTTGGAATGAGGAGTTGATTTTCCTTCTTATTATGAAACCAAAAATAGAGAAGAGTGTGGTCAATTAATCCATTTTTATTTCCTAAGAATAAAACCAATCAGGCTCAGTATATGCTTGTGTGGCTGATCCTCAGAGTAGGAGACAGTGGGGTGTCCCCTGAGTGCTCTCGGGGAAGACGACACTTGGGAACCTCTCCATGCTCCCTCTCGGGTCTTTGGGACATGCTTGCAGAAGGCAAGTCAACTTCTTGTCTGAGAACCAGGTGTGATCTTCTGAGGCAGAGACATTGACAGTCAGTGTAAAATATAAAACCTGAGCAAGACATCCAAACTTGCAAGTCAGGTTTGGATACCAAGGTGCTTGTTTTGGCAGCACATATACTAAAATTGAAATGATACAGAGAAGATTAGCATGGCTCCTGCGTAAGGATGACACGCAAATTTATAAAGTGTTTCATATTAAAAAAAAAAAATTGGCCCCCAATGCATTTTGCATAGTTGGTCTTCATGGACTGTTAGAGGACAAGGAGATTTGTGCTCTGTGTAACGGGGAGGTGGCATATAAAGGTGCACATTTCCAGTTTCGCTTAAAACTCAGAACATCTTGTGAAACTGGTCACACTGTCCAGTGTGGGGGTGGTGACACGGAGGTGAGAAGCAGCCCCCGCTTCAGTCCCTTTTGCACCACGGCTCCCCTTCTTGTCCCCAGTTAAGGAGCAGAGGGTCTGTGCTCGTAGATCATCATACTTGCATTGATTTTTCCCCTTTTAATAGGGAAATATTTCTCTGTATCCATGTCTTTATCAAAAGTGGGAAATCAAGAGAGGCACAAGCTTCAAAAAATATTTTGGGTCTCTTCTTTGTGGAAAGACATACCCTCACATGTCTTGGTGCACATTCTGGCTACAGGGGTTCCTTCTGCCCAGCCGATCCCCCATTCACGGCACTGCTGGACCCCGCGGCACTGAGTGCGTGTGCGCCGTGCTTCATCGGCTCCTGTGCCTGTGTGATGGGAGGCCAAGATTCCCTTGGTGGGCAGTTAGGGGCCTGGCATGGGGAGCTCTGGCCCACTGGGGGCCTGGTTTAAGTACAGCCAGATTGGCACAGTTAGGAGAGTAAAGAGGCTAAGAACCCTAGGGGTGGATGGGTAATGACATCAGCACTTGGGCTGGGGGATGCTGGGCCTCTCTGACCAGCCAACACCCTTGACTCTCCCCTGACACTGGATCGCGAGGATGATGCTCTTAGGATCTCAGTCCCTCTGAGCCCCAGTTTCTCCCTTTGTCCCGGGAGATGCTCCTCCCTGCCCTTCTGTTGTGTCACCAAATGAGAGAGTAGGCCCTTGGGGATTTTGAAACCTGCTAAATTCTCCCTAACAAGGGCAATTCCTGGCAAAGCGGAGTGAGACTGTGGAGCTTGCTCGAAGTCAGGGAGGCAGGAGTGGGGAGCAGCCTGTATGGCTGGTCTGCTTCTCTCGGGCGGATGAGGGCCAGCGAGGGCTCTTGGGCCTCTCCTGCTGCATCTTCCAATGGGCCCCTGAGTAAGAAACCCCCTGAAGGAAAAGATAAGATGTTGGTGTTTATCTGGTGCTTTGCAGTTTCCAGAGTGTTTCCGAGAACATCTTTTCCTTTTCATCTCTTCCCAATCTCATAAAATTGGCAAGCAGGGGCAGTCACCTGAAGTCAAAGGACCAGGTAGTTCCAAACCATTTCTCTTTTAACTGAGAACCATCACTATACATATCTATCTATCTATCTATCTATCTATCTATCTATCTATCTATCTTCAATTGCTTTGTTTAAGCTAATGAATAAAAAGAGTGCATTGCTAATATCCTATGCCTGACGAGGTTACTGTGTCAAGGGCAGGCTGTGTGACTCCCTGCCACTCCTGGGGGGCCCTGAAACCCACTCTGGCCCTCACCTGGTGGTAGCTCTCACCTTAGCTCAATGCCACCAACATTCTCTCTAGGAAGAAGTGCACGTCCCTTACTTTGTATGTCTCCTGAACCTTAAATTTAATACAATTTATCATGTGGTGGGCGCAAGCCACCAGGACAGAAGGGTTTTAGAAAAGCCAAGGCTCCTAGATGTACTCTCTTTTCGTCGGTCCTCTGTCACCCGCCCCCTGGGCACCTGCAGGAGAGCAACTTTGAGGAATTCCCCAGAACGCTGCCCAACCCTGTTCCCTCCATGTTGGAGGTATGGTTCCCACCATTTCCTACAGGAGATTTGGCCCCACTTTATCATCTCTGACATTTACAGCAGGAGATTGGGGTCACCAGGAATCCTGGGCTGGGACACAGGGGCCCTGACTTGCATGGGGGGACTCAGAAGTAGAGAAGTTCCAAGCAACTCAGTCCCCAGAAGGTATCTGAGGATCAATAAAGCCGTAATCCCCACCTAGCTGAGGCTGCTGGTGCGTGTTTACGGAGCCATTCCGGGCTGGCCAGTGATTTACAGCAGCCTCGCTTCAGAGGAGGCACTGAGGCTGGAGATTTGTGGCTCTCGGAAACATGGACAGCTCGCCCTGGGGGACACAGAGGGTGGGGCCCCCGCCCGGTCTCCCCACACAGCCTCTCTTCCTCCCATCCTCCCTCTCTCCCTTCTGTCCTTTCAAAGAATAACCTTACTGAGATATAATGCACATTCCATACAAGTCATCGATTGCAAGCATACCATGTCATGGTTTTCAGAGTATTCACAGAAATGTGCGACTGTTGTTACAGTCAACTTAAGAATATTCTCCTCACTTCCCTCAAAACCCCGTACACATGAGAAGTCAGCCCTCTTCCCCAGCCCGGACACCATCATTAGGCAACCATGAATCTAACTTTCTGTCTCAATGGATTTTCCCCGTTGTGGACATTTATACGAATGGACTCATGCAGCATGTGGTCCTTTGCGGCTGCCTTCTCGCAATTAGTGTAAGGCTTTTGTGGTTGACCCACGTTGTAGCAGATGTCAGTATGGCAGCCAAATGTGCCAGTAATCCCACTCCCAGGCATAAAACCAAGAACAATGAGAATATACGTCCACACAAACACCCGTACCCGAATGTCCACAGCAGCATTCTTCATCGTAGCCCCAAAGTGGAAACGACTTACATATTCAAGTGTTGAAAGGGTACACAGAATGGAATCTGTTTAATGGAATATTATTTGCAAATAAAAAGAATGAAGTACAGTGTCCGGCATGGGTGGACTTTGAAGACTGGCAAAGCGAGAGAAGCCGTTCATAGACACAACGTACCGCATGATTCCATTTCTGTGAAGGGTCCAGAAAGGACAAATCCCTACAGACAGAAGGTAGACGAGTAGTTGCCCGGGCCTGGGGGGAGGGAGAGGCAATGCCTGCTCCTGGATACAGAGTTTCCATGCCGACGGATATGCTCTGGAACTGCACCGTGGTGTTGGCGGCACAGGGTGGGGACTGCACACAAAAAATCACTGAACTCTACGTGTTAGATGGGTGGTTTCATAGTATGCGAATTATACCCCGACAGAGAGCGTGAAGGACTGATGGAGGAGAGGGAGGAAGTGAAGGAGACTGGCAAGGGGCTTGTGTTGCAGGGGAGATGGCAAAGCTCCAGCTCTCTGGGCTCCTGTCTGCTCCACGCGGCTTTTGGCCCTGGAACTGGCATAGCAGGAGTCACCCTGAACTCTCACAGGTGGTAAGAAGGAGAACTGGCTTGAGGCCCCAGCATGGGGGAAGAACACAGTGGGCCAGTGTCTTAGGTCCCCATCCCCGCCAGCAGAAGGAGACCAAGACCCAATGTCTCCCACCCCCACCTACCATGGGAGATACCCAGTAGGCTCTTCCCTCCCTGTATGGAATGAGAGTTCGTGTAACACCACATGCTAGGGGGATCAATTGGGAACCGCACTCCCCATAAACAGCCAGGGGCAGAGCTCTCTACCCCAGGCTTGAGACGTCACTCCTCCACTGAGAGCCTTCCTAGACCTGGGGGCTTAGGCAAGGGGCTGGCTTCTTTGTCCCCCTAGGGCTAAGACCCTGTTCTCCCACTAGAGACTCTGAGGGAGAATACCACTAGAATACCACTATTCTATGGATAACATATTTGTAACTTGCCTTTTCCTATAGCATATATTTCTTCTCTAAATTATTAAATGCCTTTCTGTATAATTTATAGTGGTTGATTGTTTTGAGTGATATCTCTTTTTCTTTCTTTTTTTTTTTTTGAAATCAATATACCCCATTTATTCCAAAGCCACACCAGATATTTATGGTGCTAAAATTCCCAGGGATTTCAATTTATCTCTCTGAACATCTGAAATAAATTTCTGTTTTCGACACACAAAAAGTTGTTCTAGGTCATATACCATCAGCAATCATAAAAGTTAAACATCTTTTTGCTGAAATCAGCAATGGGAATTCTGCTCGCAGGTTCCTGCGTTTTGTTTTGTTTTCTCTAGAAATTGCTTTGATTTCCCCTAGAGTATTTTTATTTCGGCCCTCTTTTTTTTCCTTTAAATTTTTTATTGTTATGTTAATCACCATACATTACATCATTAATTTTTGATGCAGTGTTCCATGATTCATTGTTTGTGCATAACACCCAGTGATCCACGCAGAACGTGCCCTCCTTAATACCCATCACCAGGCTAACACATCGCTCCCCCCCTCCCCTCTAAAACCCTCAGTTTGTTTTTCAGAGTCCATCCTCTATCATGGTTTGTCTCCACCTCCGATTTACAACCCTTCATTCTTCCCCTCCTGCTATCTTCTTCTTCTTCTTTTTTTTTTCTTAACATATATTGCATTATTTGTTTCAGAGGTACAGATCTGGGATTCAACAGTCTTGCACAATTCACAGCGCTCACCATAGCACATAACCTACCCAATGTCTATCACCCAGCCACCCCATCCCTCCTACTCGCCCACCACTCCAGCAACCCTCAGTTTGTTTCCTGAGATTAAGAATTCCTCCTATCAGTGAGGTCATATGATACATGTCTTTCTCTGATTGACTTATTTCACTCAGCATAACACCCTCCAGTTCCATCCACGTCATTGCAAATGGCAAGATCTCATTCCTTTTGATGGCTGCATAATATTCCATTGTGTATATATACCACTTCTTTATCCATTCATCTGTCGATGGACATCTTGGCTCTTTCCACAGTTTGGCTATTGTGGACATTGCTGCTATAAACATTGGGGTACACGTACCCCTTCAGATCCCTACATTTGTATCTTTGGGGTAAATACCCACGAGTGCAATTGCTGGATCTTGGGGTAGCTCTATTTTCAACTGTTTGAGGAACCTCCATACTCTTTTCCAGAGTGGCTGCACCAGCTTGCATTCCCACCAACAGTGTAGGAGGGTTCCCCTTTCTCTGCATCCCCGCCAACATCTGTCGTTTCCTGACTTGTTAATTTTAGCCATTCTGACTGGTGTGGGGTGGTATCTCATTGACGTTTTGATTTGGATTTCCCTGATG